TGGCCAGCGAGGAGACGAGGTGGGTGTTGGGAAGCCTGTGGCCGGTGGCCAGCACCCCCACCACATCAGGGCAGGGCTCTGGAAATGCAGGGCTGAGCCTGAACTGTGGCTGGTCAACTCAGGAACGGGACAAAGGGGAGGAAGGGAGAGAGACAAAGCAGGTTGGGGTGTGTAGTAACAGGGCCAGATGATCCTGGCCTCTAGGGAGAATGTCACCGTGGCCCTTGAGCAGCAGGTGTGCACATCAGCAGCAAGGGATCAGCAGGTCAGCTCTGGAAGCCTCTGGAAGCTTCTGGGCCTCAGGCAGGTGGGGAGGGACCACACCCAGGACCAGCCCTGCCTGCCAGCAGGAGGTGTCTGGGCAGTGTCCCTGCCCCTCATTGCACCCTGGATTTAGCCAAGCTGCATTCTGAACTCCAAGCAGGCTTGGAGGGGGTGTGTGGTAAGTGACATCCCGAATGCCCACCTTCACGTGGCTCACAGGTCGTCCATGGGCCCTTCTTCTTCCCTAGCGGATGATCGTCTTTTGACTTTCTGTTGTTGGGCAGAGAACGAGGGAGTTTGGGAAACTCAAGCACTGACAACGTTCATTGTAGTCCTGGCAAACACATCAGTGGGTAGATTAAAACCAAAGGTGGAGTTAGATTTCAGAATTATGTGTGGATTAAACGTTTGTATGTCTGTGATCGTAAGTAATCACTCATCTACTAAACGAGTCAGAATTCCTTCTGCACAATTCCTTCCCTGTTTTTCCCGGTTCACTTCTGTCCCCACATTCCCTCCAGCCCTCGGCCAGTGTCAGACTCTGGTCCTGGGGATTCTGAGCTTTAGCAGGAGCTGCTGTCTGCATTGGCCAGCAGAGAGGGGAGGTGGGAAAGCAATTCCGTCACTTTGGAATTAAGGATAAGGACCACCAGGGGATGGGGCTGAGTAACAGGGAGGAAGGTTGGGCACAGACAAGGAAATGGCATGTGGCTGGGAGCCCCTGTCCTGGCTGGGCAGTCTGGATAGGAATTGGGAAGGGGGCTTGAGACCTCCAGTTCCCAGGTCCTTGGAGTGTCTTGGACCCATATTTAAGGAGGGTGTGGGGAGGAGCAGATAAGCCTGAAGATCCATCCAGAGGTGTGTGAGGGTCTGTGACCTAGCTCTGCACAGAGGGAAATTCTGGGACAGTTCCTGCAGCTGGGCGGGATGAGGACTCCTGGGGGAGCAGCAGGCTCCTCTCCTCCCACATTGGAAATCCAAGTCAGTGTCCCCCGGCTTTGTCCTGGGGCCCGGTGTAGGAGGGACACTGGGCCCTTGGTCCTGGGCTGGGAGAGTTGGGTTGCTGGTATAGAATGAGATGGGGTGGTGGGAAAGTCCGGGGGCTACTGTCCACTCCATTGCCTGCCCCCCTTCCTGTGGTGACGTCGAGCTGGTTAATACCTTTCTTCCCGTTGTCTCCCCTAACCCTCTTCCCGCTCCCCACCTGGATGTGCCTGTCCCCTCTCCTGCCACCTCTTCCTTTCCATGCCGCCTCGTTTCTTGCCGCTGCCCCCCCCCATTCCTGGCCGCGGTCCCGTTGCCCCCTCCACCCTGTCTTCCCTGCCCGCTCCCTCCCCATCCATTGGTTTCCCGCTCCCCACAGCAGAGGGGAAGGTGTACAGCTCAGATGAGGAGAAGCTGGAGGCCCCGGCGGGAGACCCAGCAGGCAGCGAGCAGGAGGAAGAGGGCTCAGGCGGCGACAGCGAGGACGACAGTTTCCTGGACAGTTCTGCAGGGGGCCCTGGGGCTCTTCTGGGACCTAAACCGAAGCTAAAGGGAAGCCTGGGAACTGGAGCTGAGGAGGGGACACCGGTGACCACAGGGGTCAGCGCCCCTGGGGGAAAAAGCCGCCGGCGCCGCACGGCCTTCACCAGCGAGCAGCTCCTGGAACTGGAGAAGGAGTTCCACTGCAAGAAGTACCTGAGCCTGACGGAGCGCTCCCAGATCGCCCACGCCCTCAAGCTGAGCGAGGTGCAGGTCAAGATCTGGTTTCAGAACCGCCGGGCCAAGTGGAAGCGCATCAAAGCTGGCAACGTGAGCAGCCGTTCCGGGGAGCCTGTCAGGAACCCCAAGATCGTCGTGCCCATACCTGTGCACGTCAACAGGTTCGCTGTGCGCAGCCAACACCAGCAAATGGAGCAGGGGGCCCGGCCCTGACCCGAGCAAGGACCCGCGGCTGGGCTGTGCCCACACAGGAGGGACCGCAGCGGGGAGAGGCCCACGGTGCTCCCCGCCCTGAGACCTTCAGGATGAGGGGCTTCAAGGCCACCGGGGCTCTGGGTCTACTCGCCAGGGAGGTGCTGGGACTGGGGTGGACTCCTCGGGCCCATGGGGCTTTAAATGCTCGGGGCCTGAAGGGTTCTGTGGCTGATGTCCAGGAACAGCTTCTGACCAAACGGAGGAGCCCAGGGCGACACCAGCCCAGATGGATGGCAGCTCCTTATTTATTTTATGTAAAGTTTGTATATACGGAGCTGTGTCTCTGTCTGCACTCCTAAGAAGCTTCGAGAAAGGTCTGTTTCATCGAGCCTCAGCCAGAGTTCATTCCATCCTGCGCTCGGCCGGCCGTGGGCAGCGTCTCTTCAGTGCAAGGTGTGGGAAGAGATGGCTGGAACCACCAGCAGCCTCCAGGGGGACCACTGCTCCCCTCACCCCTGCCTCCCGCTTGGCCCTGCTCCCACGTCCACCCCTCACCTCCGGCTACAGCCACTGTTCCTCCTCCAGGTAAACAGGCCTCTTTGGAAGAGGTGGCTGACTTCAGGGGGTGAGACTCACCCCCATTTGTATTAAAGCTAAATGACGGCACCTGACCCTCAATGGCTGGTGAGTGTTGGGGCCAGCTAACTGGCTAGAGGTCGCCAGTCCAGTCAGTGACAGGGGCAGGGTGGGGCTCGCTCACACTACCTGTGAGTATCTTAAGCACTGGGTGCAGAGGACACAGCCACCAGCAACCGAGTGGCCTCTGCTGCCCTTTGTATTTCAGATGCGAGGGCCCAGGGAGGGAGGACCCATCTCTGGTGCTCTCAGCACTGTTTCCAAAGCTTCAGGTACTGCAGCCTCTTCTGCTACAGAACAAGGTGGGCATAGAGGGGTCACTGCCAAATGGAGGGGACAGGAGCCAGTCTGAGATGGTTCTGGAAAGGTGTGTGCTGTGGGGAAGACCAGAGCGAGGCTGTGGGATTGGAAGGGACGATGTTGGTGGATAAAGCCAACACCCGAGCTACACCCTCCAGACACACTGCACAGACTGCAGGCCGAGGGACTGTTAGGGAGACCCGCTGAGGCTGGTTCACGGCAGGCCAGCTGCTTGGGAAGAACTTGGCCGTCTTGGTGGAGAGGAGAGCTAGTGTGAACAGGCCGTGGAGAAGACAAACAGCAGGCTACAACTAAGACGGGAACCCCGGGTGTTCAAGTCAGGGTCAGAGGGAAGCCAAACGCCCCACCAACCCCCGTACCCTCCTCCTCAGAGGACCAATGATTGTTCCTGGAATGACAAATTAGTCAATGTCTCATTGACTCGTCTTACGGCTCGACTGAGGTTGCCCTTCCTGAGCAGCTCGTCTCTCCCAAAGCAAGCAGCCGGGAGCTGCGGCTGGTCAGTGACGATAGAAAGGTCTACTGTTGAGTGAGGACCCCCAGGCCCAGGCTGTCTGTGTCCCTAAGTCGGCTAAGTTTCAGCTGGGCTTCTGATTACAGCTTAAAGTATGAAGTCCAGACCTGCCGGGTCCCTGGCCTGACCTGCCAAGGCTAAGTCCCCTTGGTACCTTAGACTCACCCTGCACAGGGAACCAACAGGATTAGGTTGTTTTGAGGAGATAAGTCAGACAGAGGTTGACAAGGACAGCTCTGTCCCTTCAGCAGGGTTGGGGCAGAGGCTCTAGCTCGACACCCAGTGTGGAGGGCAAGTGAGCACTGAGCAGAAAGGCCGGAGGGACCAGCCACCACCAAGGCTGCTGTGCGTCTCCCCTGGCTCTGTGCCTGGCCGAGCAGGGTCCCGCCGGCCCGAGCGGCTTGTCTTGAGGGAGTCTGGAGGTGACTGCGGCTAGTGTTTCCCAAGTCCAGGAACCCAGTCCCACACACCATGGCCCCGGCCCTTCTGCCCTGATCTACGTGTAAGGCTCTTAACAGCCTTGCAAAAGGGGACGTGGACAAAGAAATAAAACCTGGTTTCCTCTCTGAGCAGCGTTACTTGGTTATTTACTACATGTAGGCAGGTGCCCACGCAGGGCACCAGCCAGCACACCTGCCATGCACCCAAGAGGCTTCAGGAAACACGGGCTGCCAGCAGAGTGGTTTCAGGAACGGGGAAAAAACAGGCTCCTGAGAGCTGGGACCTGAACTTAGCCAGTTCTTGTCCTTCAAGAGCCAGTACAGTTGCCCCTGGATCCCTGGAGAAGAGGGATATGGTGAGAAAGAAAGGCAGAGGCTCCCGTCCTGCCCCCAGCTGGGCAAGCTGCTGGTGGGCGTCCAGGTGGCTGCTCTGCCACCCCCTCCCCTTTGCTCACAAGCAAAGCCCAGGCCCCCGTGCCCCAGCCGCCTCGTTCAGCAGCTAGCTGCCCACCCTGTGGCATCAGCTCTAAGGTCCGGGCACATTCTCAGACTCCCAGGGAGGGGCATGCTCCTGCCCTCTGGTACACTGTGACCAGGGCCGGGTTGTGGCATGCCGTCACTAGGTAGGACACTGATGTCAGAGACCACTGGAAAGCTTCCTGGGGGTGGTGGGGGCAGGGGTGCAGTGAAGGCAGCACCCAAGGGGAAGAAGGGCTGCTCCGTCCCATCAGGTTCCCTGTGCTGCCCACAAACAGCTACACCGCTGCCAGGAGAGCGAGAGAAACTGATGCAAGGCGGCGGCTGCGGGAAGGAAGCCTGGGGTCTGGCTGACAGGGAGGGAGAAAGCCTTAGAACAGAGACAGCAAAAATGAGCAGAGGTGGAGGTGAGGGGCACTCCCAGAGGGGAGAGTGTGAAGGAGAAGCAGGGCCACACACGTCTGGTTTATTGGCTCTTCATACACGCTCACCAAGTATGTACACAAACATAAATATTCCAATGTACAAATTTTACATGGGACTCACAGATCACCCTCTTGTCTCTTTCATCCAGCACCCCCATCCTGTGCCCTGTGCTTGTGGGGGCTGGCACTAGGAGGCAGGGGTCTGGAGGAGGGAGAGGTCCCGCCCCCCTCTCCTCACAGGCACCTCCAAAGGGTCCGTCCCTTCTCAGTGGCCCTGCAGGGCAGAGGGCTGAGCACCGTGCTCCCTCCCTCTGCTGCAGCTCGAACCCCAGACCTCTCCTCGGATCCCTTTGACTTCTCCCTCCTCTCATCCTGGCTGCGTGTCCCTGCTTCTCTGGCTCTGTGCCCGCTTCCCCCAGTGCCTGCAGGGAGCAGGGTCCCAAGCCACGAAGTCCTTCTGGCCTCTCTGCCTTCTTCCTGGGCCTCACAGGAGGCTGGGGCTGCGGTGCAGCTCAGCAGAGGCGTTGGTACTGTTGGCCGGCTCTCTGTTGGGGGTGGGTGCTAAGCCACAGCCCTCCCCAGGGCAGCCGTGCTGGATCAAGATGTCTGCACACTCCTGGCTGCCGGCCCGGCGGGCATAGGCCAGTGGGGTCAGGCCCCGCGCGTCCCGGCTCCTCACGTCCACCCCGTACTGCCGGAGGAAACACGTTCAGTTGGCATGACGGGGCAGGAAAGTTTGGGGGGCTGTTGAAGGCTGGGGCAAAAAGGCCAGGGTAGGCCGGAGGCGCCCCCACTCACCCAGATAAGCAGTTGTGTGAAGACTACGTTGGCCATGGCACTGGACAGGTGCAGAGCCGTCCTCCCGTCCCCGTCCCCGTACGTCTCGTTCACCTCCTCCTTGGACCCGTGGGCCAGCAGCATCACCAGCAGCCTCAGGTCATCCTCCACCACGGCCCGGAGCAGCTGCTGCCCCAGTGGCACGTCCGAGCTCGGCAGCGGGGCCAGGAAGAGCCTCTGCTCATACTTGGCCCGGATCCAGCGCTCCTTCTCCTCTCTGCAAGCACAGGTCCGTCAAAGCATGAGCCACCGAACGGAACCGAGCCTGCGGGGGCTGTAGGTGGCTGAGAAGGCGTGGAGCACCCAGGTGGGGGACAGGGAGGCCGGGTATGAGGTGCATGAGAGTATGGAGGAGAGGGAAGCCCCAGAGACGCCAGGCATTCAGGGGCAGCGGGGAATGTAAAAGGAGGGCATAAGTGAAAAGAAGGGACACTGAAGGGAAGCCCCGGGGGGCAGCAGGGACATGGGGCCGAGAGGGCAGGAAGAATCCAGGCAGGCCCGAGCAGCAGCTTATCTGGTCATCTGTACTCTCCCATTGGCAGTGCTAGAACAAAGCGGGTGGCCCGAGGGGGGCCACAGCGACCCTATCTACCACCCATTCTCCCCATCTCACAGCGCAGGCCAAGGCCTTGCACCACACAGCGATAGGAGCCCTGCGCATGCGCCTCCTGCTGGCCCCCTGACCTGCTGATAACGGCTCAGAAAGGGCCTGTTGTTGTGAGGCGCCTGAGTGACAGGCGCCGAGGGGGAGGGGCACCCAAGGGGCCAACTGCCAGGCAGAGCAATGGCTAGTTTAACCCTTCTAACACTGTCACAGCCGCTGGGCACTATCCCCAGCATATCTTCCCCACACTGGGAGCGCCAGCTGTCCCCCATCCTGGCCAACGTCAGGGCCCCATCCGCTCACCTGCAGGCTTCAGGCCCGGGCTTTGCGTAGCCATCCAGGGCCCCCTCCCAGACGCTGTTGGCCAGTGCATTGCCCATCGCAGTCATGACAGCCAGCAGCTCAGGTGGCCAGTCGTCGAGGTCCAGGGAGCGGACCCGGGACAGGTGAGCCCCCAGGTGCCGGTGGATTCCTGAGCACTCGATGCACATCAGGGCGCCCAGGTTCAGGCTGGCCCAGTCGGGGTCTAGGTGAGGAGAGGACAATAATATGACAAGGGTGACCAGAGAGGGGACACGGGGAAGGCCCCCCGCCACCTGCCAGCTCTGCAGCTGCAGCCCCCCTCCCAGGGCCACGGCCGGGACACTCACTGGGGGCGTCGCAGTCGATGCAGAAGCCGTTGCCTCGCACCGTGCGCACGGCCTGCACCGCGAGGGCTGCATTCTGGTTCCCCAGGCGGGTCTGCCCCAGGAGGGAGACAGGACTCAGTCAGCCACAGCACCATCTCCCCGCCAGGCACTCGGGGTGGCCGCCCCCCTGCCTACCTTGTCCTTGGCGCTGCGGCAGCCCTGCAGGCTGGCCAGGATCTGGGCCTGTACACTCTGCACCCACAGCTCCCTCTCCTCCGCCGTTGAGGCCTCGAAGTGCCACGTCTGCCCGGTGAGGGACACCACCACAAACTCAAAGGACTCCTCTGCCTCTGTGGGGGAGGGCAGTCACGTCAGGGCACCCGGTGGCACAGCTCCACTCACAGCTCCACCTGCACTCATCCTCCTCCCCAGCCGTGTCCACCCGGCCCCAGGGCACACGCTCCAGGACCACTGGCAGGTGACCTTGCAAGACTAGTGCAAGCTCCTAGCCACCTGTGGAGCCTCGGGGAGTGGGGTGCAAGTTCTTGGCTTCCCCAGCACTGCCACGTGTGGTCTGGACCAGAGAGGGGCACCTGGAGAAAGCCGGGCCCAGCGTCTGGAGAAGGCTACAACGGGCGCTGGAAGGCGAGTGTGGCGGGGGAGGCGGTGGTGGGCACCATTCGTACATGTCAGCTGCAGCCGCCTCATTTTGCAGCTCATTAAACCCAATATTCCTGACGGCGTCAGCGTGGGGCTCTTGGGAGTGGGGCCCCTCCCCCACTGCCCTGGCACAGACAGGCAGGAAGGGCAAATGGGGGGAGATGGTTTCTCCAGGAACTGTAGGATGTGAGCCAATCGGGACCTGAGGACATCTGTAGTGACAAGTGCTGGGGCTGGACTGTGACCCCAAGCACTGCGATGAAGCTCTTCCAAGCTGTGCTCCCAGCCCTAGAGGACAGCCACATGGATCTCATTCCCAGCGGCCCCTGCCCCCGAGGTGGCAGTGTGACCTGTGCTGGGGCTGGAGAGACAGCATGTGAACCGGTGGGAGGACCAGGGCTGTCCCACCCAAGTCCTCACTGCACCTCTGCCGGCAGCCTCTCCTCAGTGCCACCTGGGCCCTGGAAGTCCTCCTCCGCTGGGCCCCTGCTCTCAGGACCCTTAACAGAACCGCCTTGCCACATGATAAACGCAGCGCCTTTCTCTCCCCAGGCACCAGTCTCGCGCCCCACCTAGCTCTCGCCTCAGCCTCTGGCTCCCCCAGCGCTTGTGGGCTCTGGTTCCTGGACCATAGCGGACACCCGTGCCATGATGGCTAAGTATCACTGTGTGTCCCAGGCTGGCTGCAAAAGGGCAGCCATCTCCACCCACCTGACCCACACCCCTAACCCTAGAGTCAGAGCAGAAATGACAACTGAGTCCACGGAAGTCACTTGGGAGCCAAGAGACTCCAGCCACGGAGCAGGTTGAGGTTGGAAGGGAGTCGGGGGTGGGAGCAGCACTGTGATCAAGAGACTGAGAGAGGAAGCTGGTCAAGGACTGGGGCTCTTTGGCTCAGGAGAACTCAGCTGACCCAGGCACAAATGCGAAGCACTCACAACACTTGTGGGTGATACAAGAAACACAGAAAGCAGGTCCCTCCCGGCAACTCTTGGAGGAGCTACCATAGCAGCTCGCTGTCTCTGACTTGAAGAATGACAGAAGGGCTGGGCACAGTAATCCCAGCCACTCAGGAGGCTGAGGCAGGAGGACTGCAAGTCTGAGGCCAGTCTGGGCGATTTAGCAAGGCCCCATCTCAAAATACAGAAGAGCTGGCTCAGTGATAAGGCACCCCTACCTTCAATTCCCAGTATCACAAAGAGAAGGGGGTGGGGAAAGGACAGAAGCTCCCAGCTGTTTCAGGGAGAGGAAACAGGACGTTTTCCAAAATCCTGGGTCCAAATTATCGAAAGAGGTTATGGAGTTAGCATCTATTATTCCTAGAAAGTGCCGCATCCATCGATCTGGAAAAACCGGCATGACTTCTGGAGTACGGTGCCCAGACCCCACTGCCCACCTCCTAGGCCCACTCTCCCTCTGGGTCCCCCTAACCTTCAGCAGCACTGCTGGGGCCGTCTGGTCGGGGGGTCCCGGTGCTCTTTTTCCGACGGTGCTTCTTCCGGTTGGAGTGGGGAGATGGGGGAGGCTCCAGCTTGGGGCTGGAACTGAGCACCTCAGCTGGGCCACTGGCTGGTGAGGGGAGAGGTGGACATGTGTGGGAACAGGAGAGGTGGCCTGGGGAGGGCAGTCCTGCCACTGTACGGGCCGCACCTGAAGAGCCCGCGGGCCTGCACCCTCTCTGGGATGGGGTCCTGCCCAGGTCTCCCAGTCCCAAGGCCCCCAGCGGTGGAAGAGGAAACGGGCAGAGAAGGAAACTGAGGTGGGCAGGAGAACGGCAGAGGGAGGCCCCGGCTTCTGCAGCCTGGAGGGGTGGAAGGCGGCCCAGGGAACTCAGGGAGCTGAAGCCCCAGCAGCTCCGCACCAAATTTATCCTCAATCACACTCCCCGCTCCTCACAATTAATAGCAGAATTAGAAACAATCAGGGAGCTGCCTAATTACTGTCAATTAGAGCGCGCTAATCAAGCTCCGGCTCCCACACCCCGCCCGGCGCTCACCACTAAATGTCAAACTTCATTAGAGGCAGACGCGCTCCCTCCCTGCCTCTCTGCCTCCCTCAGACTCAACAGAGGGGTCTCACCAAGGCCAGCGCAGGCCATCAGCCAGTGACCCAAGGGAAGGGCCCAGCCATGGATGGGTGGGCAGAGACTAATGGCTAGGTCCTTCCTCACAGGTGGGCATGCTCAGGAAGGAAGCTCAGTGCTCAGAGGCTGGGCCTGGGGCGGACCTCTGGGAGTCATCGGGGAGCACAGCAAGTGTGCCCCTGGGTAGGCTGGGGCGAGACAGGGGACAGGCTTGTCTGCCCACTTCCTGGCTTACCAGGGGCAGGTGACACCCTGGGTTATCTCCCTGTCTTTTCACCTTCATTTGCCACTAGGGGGTAGAAGGGACAGGAGAGTTGTTACCACTTTTTTTTTTTTTTTTACCCTCCGATCTACCACCACGAGGGTAGGGGCAGGTTGGGGGACGCAAAGGAGGAAATGAAGGGGTGGAAACGAGGATCCCAGGAGAGTACGCTAGGTGGGTGGGCGGGAGGAGGCAGTCTGGCCCTGGAGGACAGCAGCACAGGTGGAAAAGAACCTTTAGGACAACTCTGCAGGGACACCCCCCCCCCCCCCCCGCCCACGGTGGTGGGCCATGCCGCCTTCAGAACCAGTTCTCATGGCTTAGAGTCCCCAGCCGCCGACCTCCCTACTCAGCCGCTTCCCTGTCCCCCCCCGCGGAGAGGCTGATGAGCTGGCTGCGCAGGGGGCTGATGGGGATGCGGGAGCGCGCCACCAGCGCCGCCTGGGGACACGGGGAGGAGGAGCTGCAGAGGGCGGGCCTCCAGCGCTGGCTGGAGGGCCAGACTGGAGCCAAGGGGAGGGGCGAAGGGCAGAAAGCCCAGGCAGGGGCTGGAGAAGGGCCAGAGCCCCTACTCCTGCTCCAAAGGGGCAGGGTCCCCGGCCCCCAGTGCAGTGCCTGCCATGAGCGCTGGAGGGCTCCACTGGGCCACCCTCAGCCTGGGCACCGTCCAGCTGCAGCCTCCCCTCCTCTCTGTCACCTACCCAGGTACCAGAAGAGTGGGAAGCAGAGAGCCACCACTCACCAGGGTGCTGTGTGCCGGGCAGGGCAGTGGCTCCCTCCACCGGTCAGAACTAGAAAGGGAGCAGGAGTGCTGGTGCTGGCCCTGGGGGTGCAGGCCAGCCCAGGCCGAGTGCCAAGGGGGTGCTCGGAGGAGTGCAGGGATGTGCTACTGGCCGAGTGGGGGGCACCTGAAGGCGGAAAGTCAGACTGGGAGGGGAGGCCAATGGGAGCCACCTAGAAACACCTTCCTGGAAAAAGGGCCACAGCAGGGTAATGGCCAGGAGTGGGAGGGTCACCAGGTGCAGGCCAGGCACACTGTGGAGCCTGCGGCCTCACAGGGCCCCCTGGACCTTCTTGCCCCCTCTCCCCATGAACCACACAACAGCTGTCTCCTCACTGTGACTGCAACTGGAAAGGGCAGGGTCACAGGACACTGCAAGGGTCTTGGAGGGGCTCCTGGCCAAGGTGCCATTGTCCCTTGGCTCAGGCCCTGTACCCTATGTGCTGGTCCACATGTGTCATTTGATTTGCCTAAGACTTGCTGCCATTCTAACGAGAAATAAGTGTATCAAATTCAAGTAATTATGTCTAATTAGTATTAGTAATTATCCTGTTGGGCTGGAGAAAATTAATCTTTCGTTTCCCATCAGGGAAGAACAGCAGAGCCCAGGGGAGCGGAAGGCCTAGGAGTACCAGGCTGGGCAGATGTGGCCAGCCGTGAAGCCAGCCGAGCACCTCAGCCTTCTCCTGGCCCCCGCCCAGGCTGAGTCCCTGCTGCAGAGAGCCTGGCAACACAGCCATGGGCCTCAGAGGGCCTTAAAGGGCCCGAGAACCCAGGTGTCCCTCCCCTCCTTCAATACTCCCAAGCCAAGAGAAGCGGCCACAGGGCTCTGGGAACAGGTGGGCCAAAGCCAGGATGTTTAAATGGGCCAAGGAGCCAGCCAGGTGTGGAGGTTAGCAGAAAGGTGGACGGCCAGGGGCGAAAGCAAGCGGGGGCCAGGCTGGCCCTGCAAGCGCATGGAGGAGGGTGGACAGGAAGGCCTGAGCGGACCCGGCCGTCTGAGAGCAGGCCAGACACGCAGCGCAGAAGCAGGCGTGAGCTCGGTGTTTTCTTGTATTCATCCTAACAGCCAGAGAGAACTAGACACAGGGTCAGCACCTGGTGACGCGGGGACAAGGCCAGCCCAGGGTAATGCACTGACACTGCCCTTCTGAATCCTGCCCAGCCCCTCCTTGGGTCTCACGGGTCCCTCCTGGATGGGCCTTTCTCTCCCACCTCCAACAAACCTTCCAGGGACCCTGGCTTCTCCCCACCACTTCCTGCTTTCATCCCCTCCCAGGTTCCAAATCCTACCCCCTCCACCCCAGGCCCCATCAAAGACATCACAGCCCAACTTCCTCCCAAGCCCCCAACCCAAAACCCTGAGGGAGGGAAAGTGCTTTCCCTTTTCTTTGTTAATTCTCCCCTCATTACGCCTGCAATCCCACAATCAGTGTGCACTGTAATTGTCGAATTTGATGCTAATGATTAATGAATTAAACATGGAGCCATCAATTAGTCCTCCGAGGATAATTCTGCATAAAGCAGCGGATAATGTAATTACAGTAACAAAGATAATGAGATGTTAACATCGCCCGGTGAGCGAGAGACATGTGTGAGTGTGCGCGAGGGTCGGTGTCAGCGTGCGGCAGCGGGAAGGGGCTTGGTGAGCGCCGTCCATGCGCTCCTGCTCTTGGGTGGGCTCTGTGACTATGGCAGCAGTGTGAAGCACATCAGGGCCCAGGACGGGGACAGGACAGCAGCCTTCTGCTTCCCTCTGGCCACCTGACTCCAAGGCTCAGCTCCCCAGGCTCCCCTTCGGCAAACCTGTGCTACGCCTCCTCCTGAGAACACCCACCCCGACCAGAGGGGCTCAAGACCCTGCCTTCCGCACGGAGGAACACCCCCAGCCTCCCATCTGTGCCACTGGGGCCAGGCCCCACCAGGCACACCCCAGGCTCTTAGCCACCCCGGTGGAGGGACTGTCCTCTCCTCAGCTTCCTTCACTGTTAGAGCTGTCCCTCGCTCACTTCAAGGGCTCCCTTGTTCTGAGCTCAGGGCGGCTCAGAGGAGGGAACAGAACGAGTCCCCTCAGGCTCGCTAAGGTCCAAACAGCAGCTTCCCGCTCACAGTTGGGCTGTGTTCTCAGGTGTCTGAGCCCTGATTTCCTCCTGAAAACAGGCACAAGAGTCTCGACATCACGGTGGTGCTGTGGCCCTGGGACCTGGTGTGGACATCCACTACACCTGGCCAGCCCAGTCGGTACTGCCTGGCTGCCCCCACACTGCCAGCTGGGTCAGTGGTGGCCACATGGGCCTTGCCTCAAACAAGGACCACACTTGGGTGCTTGCACCTCACCTACCACCCCTCGGCCTGGACTTCCTCAGCACAAGTCCCACCATCCTTTCGAGGGAGTGACTGTTGACTGGGGTCACCTCCAGGGGACTTGGTGTTCCCAGCCCCTGTCCATTAAATCCAACACCATCTATCACTGTGACAAACAGAACACCCCAGCGTCTCCACATGCACCCTGGCTGAAAGCCTGCCCTGCTGATACCTCAGGCTGGGCACGGGAACAGGACAAGGCAGTGTCCCCAGCAGCAGTTCCTGGGCCCAGAGACAGTAAGTTCTGATGGTCTAGGAGGACGAGCAGATATACATGGAGGAGAGATCCAGTAACCCAGGCAGCTCAGGGCAACTGACTGGGCAAGACCACCCCAGCAAGGGTGGGGGCCCAGGAGCAGAAGCCCAGGGGAGGAGGATGAGCCGGTGCTAGGAAGGGAGCACTGGGGGACAGAGGGCCTTTTACCAAAGCTATCACACCAAAAGCAGCCCAGGCTGCCCTGTGGCCATAACCGCCTCTCAGCCCGACTTTACTCCAGATCGCTGGACATACGGTGCCTCCCACCCTCAGGATCCTCTCTAAACTCAGCCCTCATATGCAGAGACCCGGCTTTTCACTGTAGACCTGAGGATGTTTGCCTGGTGGCCCCCGATGGTTCTGTCCCCTTCTGCCCCACACAGCAAACTAGGATGCTGGCCTCCCTTGGCTCCAGATGCAGTGAGGTGGTCCTGGGACCACTGGGCCCACCTGACAGCCAAGGCTACTTGACCACCCTGCTAGAGTTGCATCCGGGTCACAGCATGTGACTTGAGATGCTCCTGAAGCATGGTGCTGGCTGGCCATGTGTTCAGAGCCCCAGGCCTGGGCTGAGAACTGCCGGTCCTGGAACATGTGCCTCCCTGGCCCCTCTGCAGCCACTCTCAGCATCCACCATGGTGGCAGCCTCACCTGTGCCCCCACCCAGCTGTGTACTGCTTCGCTCCATGGCCAGCCCATTGGCTCGCGGGCTGGTACCCGGGGCTGTGGCAGGTGTGGCTCTGGGCAGGCGCTTCCCTGGCACTTTCACCGTCGTCCGCAGCAGGTCGATCTCCTTGCCATGGATGTTCTGCATGTAATCCTAGAGGCCGTGTGCACAAGACAGATGCATTAGGACAGGCATCCCGGGGCAGCCACGTCTCCAGCACCAACCCCTCGATTCCTAGGTCCTTCCTTGCTTTGCTAAGTCATGGGATAGCTCAGTCTCAAAAAGCTGGGCTCCGAAGCCCACAGACACCTCCTGGTCTGGATCACACCAGATCCCCATGGGGCTCACAGGGTCTCACTGGGACCTGAGGATCTAGAGCTAAGTGCCAAGACTTGAGGTCCTTAAAGACTGAGTACGACCTGGAGATGGTTCAGGGAGACAGCACCCCTGTGGCCAAGGAGAGAACTGGCAGACTCAGACATGGATGATGGAGAAACCCCAAGCTCCAAGGCTGGCCAGGAGGCACTCAGCCCCATTTCTCCAACTCCCAACCCCAGCTGGCCACTGGGAACATTCAAAGTCTAAGAGAGTCCCTAGACCTTGGGAAGGTGCCTGATTAACAAGCATTTGTCAAACTTTTAAGGAGCAGGCTTCGATTCTCCCTGCTGAACCGAGGAGTGCAGCAGCAGGTCCAGGGATTCACACCCCGGACTCTTTTTTGGTGGGGACTGTCAGTGCATCTGCCCGTCTGTATGCTGGGGTTACTGCACGAGAGCAGGGTTTATTATCTATGTATGCTTCACACATTGTCTTGTGTGATCTTCCCAACCACCTGACGGCGAGTTCTGCGCCTGTTTTGGAGATGAAGAAACTGAGCTTAGGAAGGTTTATCACCCAAGATCAGTTAGGAAGTAGCAGACCAGACTCAGGCTGTGCTCCTAGAGCCTGCGCTGGGCCCGGGTCTCAGCCAGCTTTCAAGTCAGCCAGAAAGAAGCCCTAGGAAGTGGGGGGTATGCTGTGCTTGGACCCCAGCCCCACTCGGACACCAGGGTGGAGCAGTGGCAGGGCCCTCTGTGCCTGAAGGCCCGCTTCCCCTACTGCTTCTCGCCTGCCCTTCCCGACTGCTGACCCTGCTTCCAGGCTCCCTGGTGGTTCCGGGCCCCTCTCTATAGTACGCCAGCACTTCCTCCAGGGTCTCTATACCTTCCTGAGAGAAGGATCAGGCGGCGTGGCTTGATTTGATTTGACTAATTACGCTGATGAGAAAAAATGGGCTCCTCGTGTCCCCTTCACAGGCATCTGGGGTGTTGGGCATCCAAGTTCTTCCCTGGGGGAGCATTCCAAACATGGCTACCTGTGGGTGCCCAGGCCTCCCACCCGCACCCCTGGGGTGGTGGGCTGCTTGGTTACCGTACCCTTTCGGCTCCCAGGAAACGGGACAATGTTCTCCACACAGAAGGGCAGAGTGGCTGCCCCTCAGGAAGCAGTAGGAGGGCAGGGGGTCTTATCAGGACTCAAGGGTTGCCCCTCATTTGGGGAAAGAGGACATCAAATAGCCTAGGGGCCACTTGGTCCCTAGTCACTAGGAGAACATGGCGTTACCAGTGAGGAAGAGGTGAGTGAACAAGGCAATGAGAGCCCCAAACACTGGCCTGTGGCCTGAGGCCTGCTATAGGTGGGCTGCACTAGTGAACACACGGTGGAAGGGCCTGGGCCAAGTCCAGCCCTGCGAGGCCTGGCAGAGCTGGTGGCTGCCTTCATTCTCCAGGTGGCCTTCCCAGGCAGAAGCCTACTGGAGGGCCCAAGCCTGACGACCAGAGCGCAGGAGTCGCTTCTGGAAGGTGTGCTCAAGAGAAGCCCCCATTTCCTGCTACTGCCATTCCCTGCGTCTGTGCCTTCCTGCCACCCCAGTCCTGCAGAGCACACCTGCTCTGGGGTGTTGTTCATTGTCTCAGACCTGTAGAAGACACGGGGAATGAACCAGAGCAGCCTCTGCCCCAGCAGGACCACTCTGAGACGTCCCGGGTCTCACCAAGGTGGCTGGGTGGGAGACATACCCGGGGACCCCTCCTGGCCCTCCAAAGGCACCTCTACCCGATCCTTCTGTAGCTGACTGAGCTCCACCCCCCAGTCACTGCTGGCCCTCTGGTCTGCTTCCAGCCTGGTGTCCAACATGTGATTTCACGGTCTTGCCCCTCTTCCCAGACATAGTTTCTACGTGCTGGATTCCCCAGTCTCTGTACATACTGATCCCTGATCCCTGCTAGTCCCCATCCCCAGTCCCTGTACATGATCGCATCTTGGATCAGCTGCTCTAGTCAACTGTCAACAGCTGGCTGGCCAAAGGCCCAGCTGCAATCCCTCTCCTGAGGAGGGGCTTGGGCTGCTCCAGTTCACAAGGAGGTCACTGCTGCTGCAACAGTTTTCCCCACTTGAGCCCTGGGATGCCCAGGCTGGGACGTGGCAGCAGCTGACCCTATGCCAAGAACAAGAGCAGCACAGAGGTGCTCGGTTCAGGGCCAAGGAGCCAGAAACTGGCTTCAGGGGAAGAGACCGCCCAACCTCAGCACCTAACTGCCCCCCACAGACACTCTGCGCCGGGCAGGCCAACACCCTCAGCACCTGACTCCAGGTCCGAGGCCCAGCCAGCTCCAGGTCCAGAGCTGAGCCATGGAGCCTGGGCCTGGAGGACACTCTAGTGATGGAGCCTGGAGCAGCAGCAGGGACAGGGACCTCAGGCTCAGAGCAACAGCGTTTCCCTCCGTCAGCAGAACAGGGAGCGTGGTGGTGGCGGTGGCAGCGGCTGCTCAGGAGAGCGGTCACCACGGCTGCCTTTATTACCCACCATCAAACAGCAATTTCTTCCCCAGCCTCCTCGCTAATTACGCAGCCAGCGTTCTCATCTCGTTTTATTACTGGAATTAACAACGAGTTCAGAGCGTGGAAAGCTATTAAGATGTGTGATTAAGCCACATTCAATTAGTTTCTACAAACAATTTAATTGATGTTGCAGATAGAATTAACAGAAGGTGATTGTGTGAATGGCTCCGCTGGCTGCAAAGCGGGGGAGGCTGCGGCGGGCTCTCTTGGGCCAGGCAAGATTCGGGCGCGAAGCTCGAGGCCTGCCCACCAACTCCTTCTCCGCAGGCCTGGCCAGCCTCCGTCAGTAGGGGAGGCCCTGGCGCCAAGGCTCTGCTTCCAGGCAAGCCCTGTCCCCAGCAGGTGCCCAGACAGGCCTGGGTCCTGCCTGAACTCCAGAGTCAACAGAGGCCCTCCTCTCACAGTCAGGATAGAGCCTCCACAGCCTCCAGGGAAGCCACTGCTTGCAGGGAAAGAGGCTGCCTGGTCACCACTGCCACTAAAGAGCTGTGGAGGCTGGCGGACAAAGGGGAGATGGAGCAGGGAAGGTGGCAGAGGTGAGGGCTGGCAAATGAGCAGTTAGGTGAAGGGGCGGGAGCAGGGGAGAGGCTGGCTTCAAGAGCCCAACACAGGAGCTGAACTGGGCCCCAAGAGCGCGGCTGCCCACAGCAGCCCTGGTTTCTGCCATGGCTTGTTCTGTCGCCAGGACTGCAGTTTGAAACCAGATTTGTGACTTCTTGATGAGGAAAGATGACAAGATAAGCAGAGCAGGGCAGACACGTCTAACAGGAGGGATACGGGAGTTGACCATGGCCCAGGGCAATGAAGAGCTGCTGCTCACAATGGGGGACTCCTGCTCTCAGAGGACTTGGCCACGGATCCTCTTCCCTGAGACCCAGGGGGCAGGGGAGCAGGACCTGGTGCTGGGCCAGCAGGTCACACCCCATAGAATTCACCCTGCAAGGATAAGAGGACAGGCCCAGAAGCCCATGGCACCCAAGTACTGTCACAGGTCCCTAAAGCACACAGTGCAACAAGTGGGACTCCTGGGGGACTCAGATGCCCAGCCTGGCCTCCCAGCAGCCTGAATACTCCTCCCTGTCAGCAACTTTCTCCCCAAAGGGAGCAGCTCCTGGTGAGGGCAGGAAAATCTGGGTAATGCTGACAATCAGTCAGGGGCCCAGGTCTCAGCTCAGCTGCTGGCCCATGACTGACAAGCCACAGCCCGCTGAGCCTCTGCTCTCCAGCAGGTGTAGAGAGAGGGCACGTCCACATGCCTTCCCTCTTCCTCTCTGGAGATCAGAAACCCCGCTCCACCACAACTGACCCTTCTCTCCGTGTTCCAAGACATTTCTGCCATCCCTCCTCTCCATCTGCCCAGCAAAGGGGCAGACTATGTGCCCAGGTAGGGTCACACAATCAGAAAGGAACTGGTACGCAGGAGAGGGCTGGCTGAGGCTACCCTACTTAGGCGAGGGCCAGATGTTTCCTGTAGGCCAGTTCCCAAGCTCCTCAGTCCAGATGGACACACTCAGAAAGCATGTGCTAACCTGCCTGGTGACAGGGGTAAATCATGCCCCATGGGAGCACTGGGTTCCTCCTGCCTGTGAACAGGCAGCTGTGGGGCCCTTTCATTGGGGAACACTGTGAACTTACTAGTGTCTCTGGTGCACAGCTCTGGCTCTCCCTCAGGTGTGGACTGTCTGGAGGTAGTGCAGACTGTGCCCTTTCACTGCCTAGGATACTGTGTCCCTGTTGTCATGATGTCCTAGGGGCCCTTGATGCCTCTCTCGTGGTCTCTTCAGGACTCTGGAGAAGGGTGAGGCCTGGATGAGGAGGGCAGGTAAGGCAAGGAGGGAGTTGCTAGACCAAAAGGATGTGGTCCTTCCCCATCTCTCCAGGGACAATGGCCACCTGGCGTCCTGGCACAGGTCCTACCCTGCAGGGTCAGGGCTATTAGAAGGAATGATCTAACTGATGGTAGCCCTGAGCTAAGGAGAAGGGCCAGTACCAGAGGAATCAGATGAGAGGAAGCCCAGACCTCTTCTCGTGTGTTCTCTGCAGGGCCGTCTGGACAGTGCTCCTGGGAGCAGGATGTGGACAGGGAACATGGATCCCAGCACCCTTGGGCTGGGCCTCCTAACACCATGTGCACTCCGAGGCAGGCCAGGGACCCTCGGAGGCAGGCCCAGGGCTCGGGCTGGGGTGGGGCTGGCCCACGTGCTGTGCTTGAGGGGCTTCACAGGAGAACTCATTAGCCCCACAGTGGGGTGGTGACAGAGATGGATTCTGGTGACAGCTGTGTGCTGGAGACACGCAGTGAGGGGAGGGGGAGAGGCAGGGTGGGGGGAGCTGCCACGGGGGCCACACTACACTCACTGCAACACCCACACCCTCAACGCCAGGCCACGCGCCCTCAGAGTCCTCTACCCAGACAATGCCACCCACTCTCCTTCCAAGAGCATCTGCACGAGGCCTCAGTGTGGCTTAACTGCCATCTTGTCCTCCACCTTCCCAGGCCCAAGAGCCCAAGACTCCCCACTGGTATGACCCAGCTAAAGTCACTGTTGGCAGCACAGGCACCCCTGGCTACAGAAATCCCCAAAGTAGGTGGAGCCAGCTCTTCAAACCACTGGAAGTGTATGTGTAGCCTGGCTGCCCAGGGGCAAGGGAGGGGCAGACTGGCCTTGCCAACCTAGCAGTGAGTAGGGTGAACATCCCTGGGGGGGGTGGGGGGCGCTTCCTCCAGAGGCTCAGCAGGGCCTGGGTCATGTGCCTGTCCCAAGCCAAAGTGCAGTTCCTTCTTAGCGGAAAACCCATTTGAGATCATTACTGAGAGATTATCCTGTTACCCCCCCTCCACCTCTTACTGCTCCTCCCATCTCACACTCCTCCTCCTGGACTCACGTGCAGGCTGGGATGGTAGGTGAGCAGCCCATTGTCACAAAGCGTCACATACTTCTTCTTCCACTCCTTGTTCAGGGATTTGCCACTCCGCTTCAGCAGTATCCCCTAAGAACAGAGATTTAATCAGGCCAGGAGCCAGCCCTGTGCCATGGGGCGATGAAGACAGAGGTCCAATCAGAGGCCAGAAGGGGTCTGTCTGACCAGAGAAGGCAGGCACAGTGTCACTGCGTGACACCACCCTCCATCCCACCTTCTCCTGAGCCATGTGGCTGAGCAGAGAGCCTTTAAATCTCAATCCTCCTGCAGAACTCTGCTCTCTGACCAGGAAGTGGCCTGGACTGCTGTCCTGGTGTCCCCCAGCCCCCGTCTGCACAGCCACTTCAGCAATAGACTCAGAGGGTCTCCAGCAGTGATGCTCCCACCCAGGAGGCGCCACAGATGGTCGTGGAACAACAGTAGATTTCTGCAGGGCCTGGCCTTCCACCCCCTGCAGCATTCCTGCACAGGGCAGACAAACCCCCAAGTATCCCAAGAACACCTGAGACCCCACGCTCTAAAGCACCAGGAAGCCCCAACTTTCCATCTCAGCCCCCCAAACTTCCTGAGTAAGGGCAAGGACTGTGTTTTGCTTGCTGATAAACTCTCAGCACCTGGGACAGTATCTGGGCCACAGCAGACCCAGAACTGGGTGAAAGCTTCCTGGCCATCAGGTGATGAAGGTGAAGTGCCCCGGGTTGAAACCAGACCCCCCAGCCCTAGCTTTACCTCCCTCTTGACAAACCTGCTCCTCTAACAACTCCAAAAAGGCGCCCTCACCCAGCTCTGGCTGGTTCCCTGAAACTATAGACAACACAGCAGAGTGGGTAGACACCAGGTGGCAGATCCCCCAGCCTGATTCAGGAGCTGTGGGAAGAGGCAGCCCTCCCTGCAGATTCCAAAATCCCACAGGGGGAGCGGGAATGTGGTCAGACCCCCACACCGGGGCCAAGCAGGAAAGGCTGTGGGCACACGACTGGTAGAGCAGGGGGCTGCGCCCTGGGCTCCACCCACAGGGGTGAAGGAGAACGACACTGACCACACATACAGAAAGCAGCAGCCAGGAGCCCCGGAATGGCTTCTCCTGCAAGAATGGAGGCCAGGAGAGTGGGCATGAGGAGATTCAGCAGGAGAAAGCAGGAAGACCCTCTGTCTTCCCATGAAGGAGGGAAGCACCCAGCTGAACTGTACCTGCCCCTCTAGTTCTTCCAATGAGGCTCAGCCCTAGTGGGTAAGATTAGGAGGAAGGTTGATTAAGGGCTCCCAATGGACCTCTCCCTTCCAGCCCAGGCAAGATGGAGGTGAGGGAGGGCGCTCAACCCAGGCGCCAGCAGCTTGGTAATTCCCACTTCCAGCTGTTTCACTCCTGGCCACCCCTCCTTCCTTCCCCTGTCCCCTCCTCCCCCTGCCACCCTCAAGAGACAAATGCCATTGTGGGCCTCTGAAGATGCAGCCCGTTCCTTGTCCCCATCAGTGTGGGAGACCCTGTCCTCAAAATGGGCTTCTGAAAACAAGAGGGGCTGATGGGTCTGGAGCCTTGATGACCTGCCTCTGGATGTAGTGTCCTCGTCACAGGCCAGGGCAAGTGTGGCTGAGAGCCAAGCAAATAGTCTAGCTGCATGCTCGCCCCCTCCCCACAACACAGGGCCCCAAGAACAGGTGCCTGTGAGGACAAACAGCCATTAGGCTCTGGAGACACCAGGAGTTATCCCTAACTTCCTGCAGGAAGAATGACCAAGTGCCAGTGGGCACTGTGGTGGAACCTCCCAGGTGGGCGCGCTGAGGCAGAGCCTCCTGAATGGAGGACATCTGTTCTGAGCCCAGGGTGGGTGTCCTGGATGGAACTCCTGCCCAGCTTTCTTGCCCCTCGGCACAGAACTCTCTCCTCCTGCCCTCTGGGTGGCTCCCCTCCAGCCTTCCCCTAGGGCTTGTGCACAGCCTCCAGCCTCCCTCAGTCCACACCCAGCAGGGCCTGCCCTCACCTTCTCCCCTCGGTGCAGCCCCAGCTTCCAGTCCTGGGGATGGAGGCCAGGCTTCCATCCCTTTTCTGCCCACAGCTGGCCGGTAACATTCTACAGACCATTCTGGCTCTGGGTCTGCTTTCTCCAACAAGCCGGGAGTGTGGACTTAGGGACTCGAGCACCTTCCTGCTGGGACCTACCTAGGTCCCCTTCCTCCCTGCCAAAGGGATCGGAGGCAGACGCTGCCTTGTCTAGGAGGGAAGCCCTTTTCCACCTTCATCACCTGGCCGCCTCTGGGGACAGGCAGGTAGGCAGCCGGCGTGGTAATGAGGCTCGTTAGCTGAGGGTGTGGGCGGAGGGCCCGGGGCTCGCCCAGCGGAGCTGCGGGCAGGTTCGCCCTCGGCCCACGCCCCGCCCACCTCTCACCTGCCTGCCGCCCAGGACTCCTGCCCCAGCCCGTGCTCCGAGAGGGAAGGAGCCACAGGGTTCCTGCTCCCCTCCCTGGCCGGCCGGCTGCGCACGGCGGAGCAGGAAGCAATCTGGGACGGAATGGGAGCGGTGCGGAGGCGACAGCCCCCAGAGGACCCGTTCCCGCCGCCGCCTCCCTCCCAGCTCCGCCAGCCGACTTAATTGCGGAGTCCGGATTGATTGGGAATGCAAATGGCAACTGAAATGCAATCTCCACTCCCAGCAGGAGCTGGGGGGAGGGGAAGGAACAGAAACGGGGAGACCGGGGCAGGAGGGGGGAAAGGGAGGGCGCGGACCTGGCGGGTGGGACCAGTCTGGTTGGGTGAGGCTGCCAGGCCGCTGGGAGGGGAGGCGAGCAGGGCCGGCCCCCACCGGTAAAGGCCCATCTTGCGGGAATGGGCCTGGGCCTGCGCACCCCAAAGGAAGCAGCAGGATCGCGGCCTGCATCAGCAGCGCAGGCAGCCTCGAGGACCGCCCACCGCAGGCAGGACCGCCCCAGGCTGGCCACGGGAGGGGCCTCCTAGAACAGTCTCAAGTAATATTCAAGTGACCCAGCTGACTCCAGGCTGGAACCCAGAGTGCAGCTTCCTGGGCCACCTCACATCTACCCCTTCACCCATCCAGTGGGGGAATAAATAACCATCCCCCAGTCACACAAGCCCCAGGCGGGAAGATGTGGGCAGATGAAATGGCGTCCTGCTGACTTAACTGAACACGCCTCCCTTCACCTTTCCCACCCGAGCTGACCTGCCTATGCCTAGCAAGAGGCCCCTCACCACATGAGGTCAATCGGCTTATGTGTCACCAGATTCTACACACACCCCAAAACGTGTGCCTGGGAGACGAGAGAAGGCAAAAACTCTGCAGCCAGTCCATGCTCCCAGCCTTCTCAAGTGACCTCAGGAGGCCAACCCAACTGCAGTGGTCCCTGCCAGACCTAAGTGCAATGAGCATCTCAAGAGAGAGGTGAAGCAGAAAAGGCAAGATGTAGATCAAGGCATGGCTCCCCCTCCAGGGCCCTGCCATATCTCCTTGGACACCTCATTCAAAATTGATCTTCATAGGGAATCAGAAACTCCCATCCTTACCACGGAAATCCCAAGTCCCAACCCAGGAGGGCCTAACTGGACCATAGGCCCTGGCTAAACTCTGGCCATACGGGTTCCCTCTAGGGCCCAAACCTGGCCACTTGGCCCCTGTAGACACAAGCTGTGCAATCACCAGATCCCAAGGTTCAAGTCAGCAGCAGAAGGGAACCGCAGACTAACCACCAGCTCAGCCCTCACTGGCACCTTAGGTCCTGAGGCTCCTGCCCATGCTCCAAAGAGACACCTCTGCATTCTACCCACCCACCCCGCAGCTCCAGAGTACCTACCCTACATACTTCCACCTCTGGCCAAGACACCCTCATAGATTGGTTTTTTTTTCTGGCACCAGAACCCCCAACAGGAGGTCTGGGAGAACCAAGATTAGGTGGACTAGAACTCTCAGGAGGCAACTCCAAAAGGAAGTGGGGTAGAGACAGAGGGGGATGGCATCTCCACTGAATTGTTTTCTTTGAAAATGAAGAGAGGTAAGCTGGGTGTAGTGCATGCCTGTACTCCCAGCTACTCAGGAGGCTGAGGTAGGAGGACTGTAAGTTCAAGGCCAGCCTGGGCAACTTATACCCTGTCTCAAAATTGAACACAGGGGCTGATGTAGCTCAGTGGTACAGTGCTTGCCTTGCATGAATTAGGCCCTGGATTTCCACCCCGATACCATCAAGGAAAAAAAAAAAAAAAAAAGACGAAGAAGCTCAAATTGGTAAAACTGAGCCAATGGCCCTCAGGTGGGATCATCCTCAGAACCCACTTCCATGCATTCTCCTCAGGTTACTCTCAAGAACTCTCTTCCTTAGCCCATGGACCAGAAGCTCCATTACCTCAGAAACAGCAGGTCTGGGAGCCACCAACTGAGGGCAGCCGGTAGCTCTCTGCTGCCCCCTGGTGGTGATGAGCAAGAACAGGCAGAGCTGCTGGCCCAAAGGCGGCAGCATGGGGAAGAGGCTGCTGGGCCTTGGGTTTCTGAATAGAAGCGTGGACCCTTATACCTGCATAAGAACTTGTGCCTGGGAGGAAGAAACTCACCCCTTACACCATCTCCCTCATCACAGAGGCCCCAAGAAGAACCACCCACTAGCACTTCTGGGGCCTCACTCTCAGCTGCCCTGAGCCCATGGGAAAGCAAGTGCTGACCTGCTTGATGGGGATGGCCCTGCCGCTCCCGATATTGTCCACCTTGCACTCTGCAGCCTTCTTCTCCCGGTCCAGGTCAGCACCTTTTCGAGACTGGAAGAGAGAAGAAGAGGCGGGTTAGCGGCTCAGGGCCTGGGCGGAGAGCTGCCTGGAGTTCCCAGCCCTCCCGCCTTATTCCCTCCTCCTGGGCAGCCCTAGCAGAGGGGCGGCGGGACCGGGAAGGAACTGAGACCACGAGTATTCCAACGGGTTTATTCTTACACACGGCACCATACAGAGCAGCACAGGTCACTGATCCGGGCCCGACCCTCCCAAAAGAGCAAGGACACGAAATACCGAGGGTGGGAGGAGCACACAGCCCGGGGGGCTGGGGTGTAAGAGAAGGGAGGGGCCAGGAGAGGTGGCTGGTGGGGCTGAGGGCTGGCCAGGAGCACAGGGCACGACAACCGGGGAGAGCAAAGTCCAGAAGTGAGCGGACGGTGGACCGTCTGCGGCGCAGACACCACGCGGCATGTGGCACCGAGCGTGTCGGCGTGGCCCGAGGGCACAGTGGATGGAGAGAGAGAGGAGAGAGGCCAGAAGAGGCCCTGCGCCCTGCCAAGCTCCTGGGGCAGAGTCCACCCAAATGCGGATCCTAGGAAATAGGGGGAGGCCAAAAAGAGGGGGCAAGGCAAGCGCGGTGGCGGCGGCTTCTGGAGCAGGAGCAGGAACGGCAGAAGTCCATGCAGGAAGGAGCAGAGGAGGGGAGGGGCAGGAAAGCTCCCCCCAGGAGCAGCTGGGCCAGCGGGCTTCGGCGCCCCCGCCCCTCTGGGCCTCGTCGCGCTGGCCGGCCGGCGTGGGGCCGAGCTCCCTTCTTCTCCATGCAGCGAGCCTGGCGCAGTGTCCAGCCGGGCCTGGTCCCCGGCAGCCCCCAGCACGGGCTCCAGCGTTCCTAGCCTTCCCTGGGGGTGGGGTTAGTTACAAAGGTTCCTGTGGGTCTCTGGAGCGGGGAGCTCGGCGGCCGCTTCTCATCTGAGAGCAGTCCCAGGGCCCGGCCCGCCTCCGGCCCCGCACAGGGGGAATGTCCAGAGGTGCTGTGTGTCACCACCTGGTCTTCTAATTTGGAAGGAGTTGGAAAGGCCTTTTTGTTGATGAAAAGTTGGAAACAGTGGCACATATCTGCAAATATCGAAAGAATAAAGATTTTGGCAAGTTATACTCAAGCCCCGCACAAGTCGGTCAGCACTGGTGAGGGCAGAGACCCAGGCGCCTGGGGAGAGGCGAGGCGGCAGCGGGATGAAGAGGAGGAGGAGCAGGAGGAGGAGGAGGAGGAGGAGGCGGCGGCGGCGGCTGCACCCACTGGGCAGATGTGGCCCAGCAGTCCATCTCAGAAGGGAATGTCCACCACTCGGAGGCCTGGGCCCATCCCTCCTGTTCTCCCAGGCTGCCAGGAGCCAAGGGCACAGAGAGGGGCCAAAGGACTGCAATTGCAGTGTGGGAGAAAGCACAGCCAGAGGGAGCAGGAAGAACTGGGCAAAGAGCTACCGGAGAGTAAACTGCCACCCGGCAGCTCCAGGTCAGCACCTGTCCCCAGTCCCCTCCTGGGCTTCACAGCCCGGACCGCCACAGCCCTCTGCCCCTTTGGCCCAGGGAAGAGGAAGGTGGGTGAAACTGCTGCCACCAGGTCCCCAGACAGAAATGCTAGTTGGGGAGCAGGGTCCAGCCCGCCCCAGCCAGGCTGGTGAGCCGAGAGGCTGCCAACCTCCAGAGGACCCCAGGAGCCCAGAGGGGCACCTCTCCCATGAAGGACAGGAACAGGGGCAAGAGTGGTAACAAATGAGTACATGGAGTCATGGGGGAGACTGGGGATGTCAAACCCGTCCCCGCGGGGGGTCACCAGCCATAGAGCAGGCAGGACACACAGGGCGCCCCTTCGAGCAGGTTTGATGCGGGAGAAGGGTGGCCCCAACAGCGATGATGGGGGGAGGTCCCAAGATACCCCATAGAGACGGACATGCCTTGAGGCCGCCTCAGGGACAATGGCGCAAGTGAAGTCACCATGGAAATGATGGAGAGAAAAAATAAGGTCGCCACTGTGAAGATGGAGAGAATGGAAGGGCCTGGAGGGAAGGCCGTGCTATGAGCTTGCAGCAGAAAGGGGCGCAGGAAGCAGCACAGCTGAGGAAGGCAGGCAGCAAGGCGCACATGGAGGAGCACAGAACGCCGCCGAGAAGGCTGTGGAGCCAGGGTGGCGGGTGCAGGAGGGAGGCGGAGGGTGCCCTGGGGTTGAACCAGCCAGTAGGGGAAGATGGGAGGTTAAGAATGGAATCCAGGCAGGGGATGACTGCGGCACAATGCTGGGGAGCAGGGTGCCAATAGCGGTCACCGTGACACAGGTACCCCAGGGCTCTACAGCAGCAACAGCAGCAGGTGTGGGCACAAGCAGGTGGCCACAAAGGCTCCGAGCATCTCAATGAATAGAACAGAGGCAGGAAGCTGCAGGTGTGAGAGGGTCAGGGCTGGGCAAGTGCAGTGGGCGGCAGCAGCCACAGAGAGGTCTGTGAGCGCGCAGGGCAGGCGCGGTGCGCGGAGGCAGGCAGCCAGCAGGGGGCGGTGTGCAGGCAGGGCAGAGGCGAGGACACAGGAGCAAAGCCTGGGGCACTGGCTCTGTCTGGCAGGGTCCAGAGAATCTGGCCTGGCTGGCTGGATTCAGGCCCAAGCCAAGAGCCAAGCCCTGGCTCTCAGAAAGAGGCGCATGGAGTGACGCAGAGGGACAGGCCGCTCACCCACCTTTGTCTGGCCAAGACTCCAGGAACAGTCCAGCCAGAGCCCAGCAGGAGGGCCAGAGTTGGGGAGAACACAGTGTATAAAAACTGGGAGTGGAGGGGCACCAGGCTCAGAGGCCCACGAGCTGAGGGGCTGGCCCTGAGCAGGGGGTATGCCCCACTCTGGGTGGGAACATGAGGTTGGTGGGGAGGGGCAAGTAGCTCACAAGGAGACAGGACAAACCTGAGCGGGAGGCACGAGGCAGCGTGGTGAAGCCCAGGAAAAGATGGCTAAGCCTTTGTTAAACCAATCACAGCGGTGGGTGGGAAGCATGAATGTTCCCCTCGGCAGTGGGGTAACGGAAAAAGAGCCGGAAGGCGGATTGGGAGGCCTGGCTCTGACTCTAGCTCGGCCAGCTAACCCTCTGTGTCGCCTTGGGCAAACAGCCTTCTGGCCTCCGGTTCATTAGCTGTTGAATCAAAGGGGGTCAGGGGAGTTAGGCCACCAGCCCAAAGATCCCTTCAAGATGACACAGAAACCCTCGGGGCTGGGAGGGAAGGAGGTGCAGGGGAGCGTGTGCACAGGGGGTCGGACGCTGGGCTGGGGGCATGGTGCGAGCCGTGAAGGGAAGCCCCTCGTGGGCTCAGAGGAACAGTCTAGAGATTCTGAGGGCCCAGTGAGGGGCCTCTAGAAGCCATGTGTGTCCTCGAGTGAGAGGCTGCAGGTGGCATCCTTTGACGGGGGCTGCCCGTGCCCTCCTGGTGGGAGCTTGGTGCTCGGGCCTGCCTGTGCAGTGGCAGCAGCTGGGCAGGGAGGAGGGCGGGGCACGTACCGTGAAGATGTTGGAGCGCCGCTTGGACTGCTTGCGGATGGGCGTGGGAGTGGAGGAGGCAGCGATGGTCTCGATGCGCAGCTCCCGCTGGCTGATGCTGGGGGTTGAGGGGACGGAGGACGAGTAGTCGCTGAAGGCGCTGCTGCCGCCATTCGTGGCCTAAGGACAAAGAGGGCTGCTGAAGTGGCTCCGGGGCGGGGCGGAGAGGGATACTGGGCAGCAGGCAGGTGCCAGGAATTCTTGGCCTGGCTAGGGGCGCACAGTGACAGAGGCACCAGTGGGTCCTAACAGTATGTGTTGAGAGGAGCTGGAGGGACGAGGAGGCCAGGAGGGTCCAGTTGCCACTGCTACAATGTGCCACCGGAGCTGCCCCACTAGCTTTTGTCCTGGAGTCCTGAAAGGAGGGTTTCTGCACCGACTAGGGAGCTAGATCAGAGTTGAGGACCAGCAGGCCAAAGTCAGAGACACAGCCTGGAAGTGAAGGAACTGTGGAGCCCTTGCTAGCAGGTGATCTGGAACAGGGAGCAGCTCACCTCGGATGGACCCTAAAGTCAGACACATCTGACACCTTGGAAAGAGGCCAGGAGGTGGATGCTGAGGGGTCTAAGATTTGCTCTGAGCATGTGTGTGGCAGGGACAGAGACACAGAGCAAAGAGCAGAACGGACTGGACTACCAGAGTCAGCTTCAGGTGGGAACAGAGAAGGGAAGGGAAAAGAAACGACAAAGTTCACAGGTGGAGTGCACCAAAGGGTCTGCTCCAGGACTCGGAAGACCAGAGGCCTGCACCCACCTGCTCTCAGCACAGCACCTGGCCTGAGCGCCTGCCTCCTCAAACTCTAAGGTAAGCCTAAGGAGCCACCAAGCAGAGCTACCAGGGCAGGGTGCAGCTGCTCTCAAAGAATGTGAAGAAAGACCCACCCCTCCTCCTCTCTCCTAAGAGGGTTAATGATGGGAATTCCAGCACCTTCTCACAAGTCCTAAAGGGACGGGGAACTGCAACAAGGCTGCCGCTGGAAAGTACAGTGGCTGTAAGCTTGACCGCTCCGTTGAGCCTGTCCATGTATGGCCCAGGGCTTGCAGCAGAGGGCACTAAAGTGGTGAATGCAGCTGAAGAACCAAGCACTGGCCCACATGCCAAGGTGGAAAACTGACCTATCAACAGGCCCAGGTGTGGACAGGCATCCAAGTGCATTATTGTAGGGGCCCTGACAGGACCTGGTTCAGAAGACCCCATACTCCACACAGCACCAAGAACATTCACCACTCGGAGCAAGCGCTGCCCTTCTAAAATACAGACACTCCCAGAAGGTGACGGGGCAAGCCTCTGTGCTCAGCAGACACGAGGCCGTCTGTTGCCTCTTCCTCTCAGAAGGAGAGTACTGCAGCTGCTGGCCACAAAGGGGCTCACCTAAAAGAGCAGGGGTCAGGCCAGTGTGGCCAAGGGTGAATGCCCAGCAGGCCTCTCCTCCTTGAGCCAGCAGAGTACGATTTCCACAGGACACAGCTCCCGAGACAATGCTAACAAGGCTCACTAGAACACGTGTTTGTGCCATCTTAGCTGATGGTTGGCGGGAGACAATGGAGAGCGGAGGGTGAAAAACAGGAGCAGGGAAGGCAGTCACCATGTGTCCGAGCTGAGGCCAAGGCCAATCATGCAGGCTAAATGGAATGCAAGCCACATGCAGGAGCAGGAGGCGGAGGGAAGCCAACAGAGAAGTGTGAGAAGGCGGCAGAGGGGGCAGTGGGATGCACAGACAGGTCCAGGGACAGGGTCAGTGGCCGCACCTGGTTGATGTGCACGGCTGGGATGGAGGCAGCGGACACGGCCGAGTGGCTGGGCGAGTTGGGCAGGGACTTGCAGGGCCCGATCGCCAGCTGCTGCTTCTTCCGCAAGGCCACCACTTTCTGGGCCACTGCAGGGGACAGCAGAATCAATTATACCCACTGGGGAGAAGGGTAGAAGGGTAGAAAGCCCAGCTCGGCGCCTCCCTGCGAAACACAACCTGCTTGCCAGGGAACCTTCCTGCACCCCGCTCAGGGGCCCAAGTTACCGTCCTGGAAGACGCGCTCCACGTTGAGCCCGTAGGTAGCGCACGTCTCGTAGTAAGTGCAGCGCTTCAGGTCTGTGGAGAGCTTGCGGGCCCTGCTGTCATCGATGACGCGGGGATTGGCGGCACTGATGGCGTCTGTAGGAGGGGAGGCGTCACTCGGGACAGGGGAGTGGGGTGGCTATACAGGCCTAGGAATGCAGAGTCTGGGCTTCATTTCATTTTGCTATTATGAAGTAAAAATGAGCTGGCCACTTAACCTCTGAGTCTTTTATTCACGGCAAAAAACGTGGACATGACAGTCACACGATTACAGGACTAGGGGGAGAAGAGCAAGGAAGAAGCCCTGGGCTCCAGGCAACATGGGAGGGGCTGAGAAGGGAGTGGAAGCTGGGGGCTTACTTGCCCCTGCCCACCCAGGCTCGGTTGGCCCAACCCCTGCTCCCTTGCAGACTCAGGCAGGCCCCGCCTCACCCTGTGTGCCCACTAGCACCATGGGCACCTCGCTGGCATTGCGGAAGCTGCAGAGCCGCAGGAAGTAGTTGTACACTGTCTGGAAGCTGATTTCATCCTCCAGGCTGAACACAAACACCACCGCATCCACCCAGGCAGCGAACTAGGGAGACCAAGCAGAGTTAGCACACTCGCCTGGGCCTGCAGACTCCCACACTGCAAGGGCCAAGGGACGGAGGATCCTAACAGGCTCTTGTCCCCAGACACACAACTTTGCCCAGTCCCAACCAGAAACCAAGGGCCCCGGCAGGAGCATCACCTGGAGCTCAGGGGGGCCTCCTTCATCTCGGATCAGCAACAGGTAACTTTGGCCGTCCACCACAATCTCCTTCTTAAACCGACCCCCTAGGATGGAGTGCAGAGTCAGGACCAAACTTGGAGGAAGGGCCCATAGGGGCCAGGCAAAGCAGAAACCTAAGCTCCCAGTGGAGGAGACAGGAGGATGGGAACGGAAAGGGGCCCACAGTGTGGAGGAGAAGAGGTCCACGTGGCCAGTCTCTGGGCCAGGCTGGCCTTACAGCTCACCTTCAGGGGACTCCTCCTGGACATAGGTCCCTGTCAGATAGCGGTGCACCAGGGCTGACTTCCCACTAGACAGGTTCCCCACTATGCCCTGCAGGAGAGGAAGGGGCAAAGCAGTGATCAGAGGCATCAGGGAGAAGACCAGGGCTGAAGGGAGAAGGCGGGCCACGGGGAGGGAAGAGGATCAGAAGAAGCCAAGCCCAGGCCCACCATTCTAAACCTGTCCCACCCAGCCACAGAACTGCCAGGGCCTCTCTCGGGCCCACTCACCACTTTAAGCTCCGGCACAGAGCGGCTCAGGGTCCACTCCTGACTGTTCACAAATGAATCTGTGAAGACAGAGCCACCCCATCAGGGCCACTGTGGCACACACACCTGTCTTAACTGCCACCAATGTGTCCTATAATGTCTCTTCTTGGCCAAGGCCAGAGGATAGCACTGTCTTCCATGAGACCTTGAACCTCACCCCTAGTTCCCTAGGGAGCAGCAGGAAGATTCTTTCTAAGCCAAAGTCAATCTTTTTTTTTTTTGGGGGGGGGGGGGGGTTTACTAGGGATTGAACTCAGGGGCACTTGACCACTGAGCCCCAGCCCCAGCCCTATTTTGTATTTTATTTAGAGACAGGGTCTCAGTGAGTTGCTTAGCAGCCTTGCAGTTGCTGAGGCTAGCTTTGAACTCTCAATCCTCTTACCTCAGCCTCCCTAGCCACTGGGATCACAGGCATGGGCCATCACTCCCGGCCCAAAGTCAATCTTTAGGAATAGACTAAGGGCTCAGTCTCAGTCCTCTCTGGCCTTAGACTTGTATCCCTCTTTTTCCTCTTCATGCTCCAGCAGGTATTACCCACCTGGGGCCCACCTGGCTTAGTTTCAGGGTACCTCTCATCCAGGTTAGAGGCCACTCCAACAAGTCTCAGACCAGACCCAAAATGGGCAGAGCATTTGGCAGAGGGGCTGGCCTCCTGCAAGTAGGAACTGCTCACCCTTGGCAGGGTGGGGCCACCCACTGCATTCCTGAGCCAGAGTGAAGAGGGAGTAGCCTTACCTGGCCCTGTTCTAGAGGCAGGTCCAATGAGGCCATATCTACTCTGCCCTGCCCAATCCCTTTCCCAAGCTCCTCCTTAGCTGGGGGCCCACCTCCAGACTCCCTTCCCTTCAAACACTTCCAGCACCACTAGCCCCTGAGTCAGGCAGGGCTTCTCACAGAGAAGGGAAGTTGCCAGCTACCATTGTCCTCTGATGGCCGGCCCCCAGCTCCTTTGCCCTCCAAGTTTCCACCTACAGCCTCCAGCAAGCTCCTGCTGGCCCAGCCTGGGCTGGCCTTTGTCTGGGCAGCCCTGCTTCTCCCTGGCTCCCAGACACACTGCCCCCAGATTGTTTCAGAGTAGTTATCATAACCAGGTCCCCTCACAGTGAGAGGTCAACCCCAGACCAGGAGCTAGGAAGCTGCTGAGTCCAGCCTAGAGACATCTGCCTCTACAGAGCACCTTCCTTTCCTGTGCCTCAATTCTGCATGTGCCAAATAAGGGGGTGGGGATGTGAACTAGAACCCTTCCTACTCTCCTATTCTAGGATGCTTGGGCAGGGCCATAGCCTGCTCTGGCCTGGATTCCTCCTTTCTCACTGCCATCTCTTCTGGACACTGCTGATGACCCCAGATACCAACTGCTGCACTGATGACACTTGGAGGGACCCATCTACTCCAGGCCCACACGGCGCGCCTGCCTTGACCAGGTGGGTTCCCGGCAGATTCTCACTCAAGCCCTCAGTTTTCTGCCAGACTCCAACCAGAAAGGCCACCCAGGAGGCGCTGCATCCCCTTACCGCTCGGCGCGCTCAGGAGCCCGGGGGCGGCGGCCGCCCTGCGGCTCCACAGTGGCGCGGCGGGCGCGGGCTCCCTCCGGCGGAAGCGGCTGGTGAGCAGCCTCCAGAGGCTGGCGGCGGCGCGGGGGCGGCTGGACTCTGGCGCAGCGCTTGGGACCTCGGCGCCCAGCAGGTCGCGGCGGCTAGAAAACGCGCCCAGGGAGCTGGCGTCGCCGTCGCTGCGGGTGCGCGCGCGGGGCGGCCGGGCCAGCAGCCCCGACTCGGAGCGCCGGATCTCCTGGCCGCGGCGCAGGCGGAAGCTGAAGCTCTTCTTCAGCGCCGACAGACCGCGCCGGGGACCCTCGGCGCCGCGCCCGCCGCTGCCGCGGAACACCTGCCAGCGCTGGCTGCTCCACAGCGATGCGCCTCGCAGGAAGCCCGCGCTGCCGGCGCGCCCCAGCCCCGCGCCCGGCGCCTCGGCCGCCGCCAGCTCCAGACGGTTCACCTCCAGGAACGTCATGCTGGTGGGCCGCGGCCGAAGCGCAGGCTCCCCGGGGGCACGGCTGCGCCGGACCGGAGCGGGGCTGGCCGTGGGGCTAGCCACTGGGCTGGGTGCGGGAGAGCCGGGCCGCCCCGAGGGCGCGGGGCTCCGGCGGCCAAAGCGCGGGCGCAGGAGGCCAAGTAGCAGGCCACGGGCACCGGTGGGGCCCGGCCCCGAGCTGCCCGAGCATACGCTCCGCGGCCGCGCCGGCTGCTCGCTCGCGACGCACAGGGCGGCCTGCAGGGCGGCGGCGGTCCGGCCGGCCGGGGCGCCGTGCAGGTCCAGCGAGTCGCAAACACTGAGGGCGCGGCGGCAGGCGGAGGGCCGCTCCCCGCTGTAGCTGTCCCCGGGCGGCCAGCCCCGCTCCATGCTCAGGGCCCAATGGCGAGGGCCAGGCCCATGGCGAGGGGCGCGGGGCTGGGCCCAGGCCGGGCCCGCAGCCGGGGTGCACAGACCTCCGGCCTCTGGGCACCTGGTGTGGGCCCACCGAGTCCCTCAACTCTTCCACCTCGCAGCCGGCAAGCCCAGACCTGGAGCGGCTGGGAGCAAGCCCAGTCAGGCGAGAGAGGCGGCAAGTCTGGCCTGGAACACCTAGGATCGGTGGAGCAGGGGAGCCGGCCTGCTGGGGCAGCCCCTGGGAGCCCGCAGAAAACAGGAAATTCCAGCCCAGGGCTCCTCCTAGGACTGGGCAGGTAGGTAAGGAGTTGTCATTAAGAGCAGGCCAAATAAATAACAGTCCTTGAGTACACCACACACTAGGCACGGTTCTGGAGAAAAGTTGACCATTTTCTCTTTCTTCAAAGGCAGAGCAACCATAAGGGCCAAGGACAGGAGGTCATTCGTTAAGAGGTCAAATTAGGAGTAATGACCAAGCCTATGCCCTCTCTGGGCCTCAGATTCCTCATTTGTAAAATGAGGAGCTTGAACAAGGCAATCCTGTCTCAATTTTTGGCTAGACATTCTGAGGTAGAGAGCTGTTGGATGCTACCGCCAGCTGCTATTAATGACTGAGCTGCCCCCCTTTTTCTTTTCCTCTGAAGATCCAAAAGATACTCATCTGTCTGGACTAAGTCTCCTGCCTAAGGGCAGCAGAAAAATCAAAAGATAACTTCCAGGCCCAGACCACAGTGACTCACTTCTGAGCCTTCAGTGGCCATTCCCTGGCTGCTCACTTCATCTGCCCATGTCCAGATGAAGGCAACAAGGTGACTTCCAGTACTGGCTGGCACCTGTCACTCTGTAAATGGAAGCACCCCAAACTCTATTAGTTTCATGATAGTGTGCTGCACCCAGAAAATGTGGGACCACCCCAAAACGGGGTAGGAGTTGTGCATAGTCAAATCACTCCTTTGTTTCCCAGGTCCCTGAGACAGCCAGCGCACCACAATTCACAAAGTACAACCACGGAGGCCTAGCAGATCAGGAGAAACCAGTTTAGGTAGTGGCAAGGGGTGAGGGGCCTGAACTTCCTTGGAAAAGATTACACTCCCAAGACTCTCCACCCCAGTCCCACCCTATTTCCAGTGTCCCCTTCAGCATCCCAATGTCCCTTTGAGCTTTAGAACTCTGTGGTCTAAGCTAGTAGAGAGAAAAGCTGCACATTCCTGGGGGGCTGGGGCTGGGGGGAATGCCTGGGAAGGCAGGGCCTCCCTATCCTAGGTGCTCTGGCAGAAAGGAGGGCTGGAAACTCCCAAGTCCTGGGCTGGATCTCTGGGGCAGTTCACATCTTCATGGGACTAGTTATTAACAGTGTTGAGGAAGGCTGCTTCTCTCCAGGAAGCACATTCCCCCATATGTCATAGACCTTTCCACAGAGAAGCCTTTCCCAGATCCTCAGGCAGGCACAGAGACAAGAACACAACCCAATACTCACGTGTAAGTCTGCCAAACTTTCTGAGCTTCAGATCAAAAGAACAAGGTCTTTCTGCCTAGACGTGCCTATCTGCCTCTGTCCATCTGCGCTTTCTCTCACAAGCATAGGGATTATCCTGCCTCAAAAAGAATAAGGCTGACCGTTCGCAAGTCTTCCCCCAGCTAATGAAAATGCAAGCCCTAAGCAGGAATTGCGGGAGCCAGTTTGGGGACGAGGGGACAGAGGACAAGATGGCTAACATGGGTATGTTGCTTTAGCATTTAGCACTCTTCCTCAGTGGATAACACCAGGATGGGTCAGAAGGGAGAAAGCTCCAGCCCATAAGTGCTGGTCACATGGCTTGTGTGGCGCACGCGCGCGCGCGCGCGTGCACACACACACACACACACACACACACACGAGTCAGAGAAGGCAGGCAGCAGTGCCCAGTCCTTGAAAGAACAATGACACTTAAGAGGACATAGGCTCCCGGGTTGCACTGCACCTGAAGAATCCATCCAGGCAAAAAGCTCATCCTGGGCCAATTCCCAAGCGTAGACAGCTTCCTCTTCTTTACCTGACTGCATCCTCTTTTCCCGGAAACTTTTCTTGACCCATAAAAACTACAGAAGAAAGACCACATAAGTGCCTCAACGTATCAGGTCAGTGGAAGACTCCAAAGAGAAAAGTAGCCACAGGCATACACCTCTTCCTCACGGGCCAACCCCAGGTCCTCCTGGGCTATCCCCAGGTCAGGGAGGATGTCCCATCTGACAAGACTGCTCCAAAGACATGCAGCAAACACAGCTCTACCTCATAGCCACTACCCAGTGAGCCTAGAGCAAAGAAGCCCTAAAAAGCTCCATGCTGGCAAGCCCTAAAGAAGACCAAGCATAAAACTAGCCCTTGGGTTTACTATTTCCTCAGGCCACCAAAAGCACTTTGCCTCTCAGGGGCTGAAAATTTCCTGCAAATTTCTGGGAGATTTAAGATGAAACTTCTCACAGATGCCTGCAGTGGAGATTCTGGGACAGGCTGAACAACCTCCCTTGGGGTAGAGAGTGCAGGAGGGGCTTCCTGGTGCTCAGATGCCCTTCTCGGATATGCACAGGCGTCTGGGGTCAGAGGGGCTGT